TTGGAGAAACTTTGGAGGAATTGTTTCGCTAAAAGTAATTTCCTTATTCAACTTCGAAACATTGAAAAGTTCAGACGAAATCCGATGAATTTTTTATCGTGTCACATCTTCTCTTAAAAGTGCCATATCAGCATCAGATGGAAGAACCATTCGATCGCTATATACTTTTCGTTTTCTTAAATGTGATTTCAAAATTTGGCATGAAATTATCGCGACAATGCTGATCATTGATATCAATAATATAGCTGTACCTGAAATAAATTTCAATCGAAGGAGAAGCTTTTTCATTTTCACAATTTTTGTAGGAAAGAATATGAAGTTTTAAATTGACATTTAGCAAAACAGTCAATGTTTTGAAACTGTTAGATCAAGCAAATGCTAACATTCATCTCAATTTCAACTAAAAAACCTCACATATTCACATTTTCAACCTAAAAAAACATTCACATTTTCTTTCCATATTAAAACAAATATATGAAAAAAAATCTTGAATTGACGTAGAAATTTTCAAACAAGCATCAATACATTCTTTTTAAATTCAGTTCTCATATTTTTTGTAAAGTTTCAAATTACTTTCACTATATTTCTTGCCAGACTAGCAAGTGAAATTCCTTTCTTGTTCTAATTGCAAACTATGCTAGTAAACAAAATTATTTTCCTGGCCTAATTATATATTTCTTGGTTTGACTGCGCATTTGCTGAAAAATTTGACTGGTACATGTCTCCTAAACATTAGCTATTTCTTTGATCAGATACAACGGATGAATGATTAATGCAAAGAACCTATCCTTTTGATAGAATCACATTTCTTGAAAATCTAAAATAACTGTTAATAAGCGCTTCAAATTTGCAAAGGCTATTTGTACATTGAATTTATCAAAATTGTTAGCTATTTCTTACATCATTTTCTGTCTTTTCATAACTCTAAATATTATGACTTACTCATTTTCTTGTACAAAACGAATGGATCACATTCCATTTCCCAATTGAGTGGAATAAATTTGCTTGTTGCTGTCTCCAACTTCTCTACCGTACATATGTCATCACAATAGGCAATTTGAAAACGATAAATTTGATTGGAATCGGTAACATTTTTGTAGTAAAGCTTAAATCAATAAAAATTAAGTAAATGAGAATTTTAGTGAACATTAATAATGCAATTTAACTGTAATTTGTACGTATGCTGAGTAATACTCAATGGTACGAAGATATTTCTAAATTGTGAAAAATTTGATTTAGTTAGAAAATTTCAAGTACTATTGCATTTATTAAGAAATATCACGTATTCATCAATTCGTACGCTTCTAATTAAGCCATCATTACTAGTCACTTTAATTTTATAAACAGATAATAGGAGGAGAGCAGAGTGTTTTGTCGAGCTAACGTAAGTAATGGTAAAGATGATATAATTAGAAGTGATTGAATCGGTAAAGATGTGATAAATATTTTTGAAAACTTATAAATAATGATAGTGCATTAGCAAGAATAAATTATGTGAGCAGTTATAACTGCTATAAATGATAACACAGTTGGACTGATAACAAAAGTTATCTTTAATATGTTTTGCATTGATATTGTAAGAATAATATACGTGCTAAGAATTTAACTGATTTTGTAGTTTGAAAAAATCAAAAAAGGAGATGATAGTATGATTTTAAAAGAATAATTCTGTAATTTATTATAAAATTAAAGTATGTACCTGAAGAATGAACTGATTATCAATCCAATGCGTTTCAAGTAATATAAGAGCAGTATATGGTGGATAAGTAGTAAGTTCTATACCAAACATATTTAATAATACTGCTAATGTATCATCGTGCTAAAAAGGTTATCATTTTTTTTTACTTAAACAACAAGAAAGAAGATAATAATTCAATGAAGATTTTATTTAACAAATAGCAATATTGTTTTGATAAATATACTATGAATGAAATAATTATGCACGAAAAATTTTATTTACCAACTTCGGACAAATAATATACAACTATTTATAATGAATTTAATACACTAATCGATCAATTAATTGAAAGAAATAAAGATGGTGGAAAAGAAAATTAAAACAAACCGCGGAATATGCATACATCTTTTGTTTCCACACTGAGTGTTCCGTCATCAAATCATTAAGTCTTGCAAAAATTTCCTTCCATAGCTCGCCTGAAATTATCAAGATAATTCCTTTGTCATAATTTTTATTGATTTTCTTTTTAATTTCAAAGAAAAAATTTTTTAAAAAAATTAAAAATTAACCTCCTTGAAGTCTTTTCAATAAATCGGTATTGTATTGATATTGACCCCACAAATTATACATTTCCGAAATTTTATTCCATACTGTTTCATTAACCCAATTTGGAAATTGATGTTTATCTTTATGGTAAGTCTAAAGAAAAAGCATAGGAAAAACATGAAAGGTAGTAAAATAATTCATTTCATTTACTCATAAATTTTGGATAATTCCGATCAAAATACTTTATTTTTTTACTTAAATATGAATGTAACTATTGTTTTATTAAATTGAAATGTATTTCTTGAATTTGTTAAGCTAATTTGAATTTTAAAAAAGTGGCAACTTACAATAACTTTAAGTGAATCATATACAAGCCAAATATTTTCAAGATTAAAATAGCCACTTTTTACATTCATATGTTTACCGATATATCGCAAAAATTTTTCATTCAACTTTAACATATCTTGTATCGCTTCCGTTTTAAGCACCTGTTGTAATTCTTCTTTTACCCTCGGACAATCTTGTTGGAGTAATTGCTGAAAGAAAAATATTTAAATGTTAAATAATTTTAGTTAAACCAGAAAATTACTGCCATACTATACTATGACACAAGTAACAAACAGACTTCATGAGTGTATATTTCTACGTTATTTTTTAATTAATTGTTTAGAAAAAAAATTTTTTTGATTTAAAAAAAAATAATAATTGCAAAAAAAAGATATTCAACTTTGTCGTCTTCGGCTCGTACTGTATGCACGGGTATTGGATGCCATACTGATGATGATAATTTATCATTATGATATGTCTGTGGGTATAAACCTTGAAGGACAGCATTAGCTGTCATTAATGTACGATTGATATCTGTACTTCTTACGTAAATCTAAAATAGATTAATTATGCTTAATTAAACCTTCAAAAAACTTGTTAATACAACTAATTAATTAATTAACTGAACAATTTTCACACATATATTTTATTTATATAACAATCTTTCCAACCAAAAATTGAATGAATAAGGTAATTCTTTCTTTGATGCAATTAAATAGTTTCCTTATTTTCAAATCGTTTCTATAATAAGTCAAAGATCAAAAGTTTAACGTTCTTGTGATAGTTGCATCTTTTTCTTTATGGATAACGGTTTAATGAAATTTTGTCATAATAAAAAAAGATTAAATTGTTTATTAGCATCGGATTTTTGTCATTTTTTCTTTCTTTTAAATGATACAATCAAAAAAAGTGAATTAAAGTTTTTTTTGTTTGAATTTAAAAGGAATGAAGATTTAGGTTATGCATATTAGAAAATTTACAATGAGAATAAGAAAAATTGCTATATTTGAAAATTTATAAAATTCAAATAAAACCTCGGATGTTTTAAAAGTTTCATTCAAAAATCCATCATATCGTTGCCGAAGAAACTTGCCAAGATGATACGCTTGCCAGATGCCATCAACTGTTAATTCACCTAAGCCAATTTCCCACGATTCCTCATCATTAGCCGCATCATTTGGAAGTAAAATTATTGGTGTACGATCACCATGTCTCCACATCTATTTGATTATAACTAATAATGATATCACAATCGATAATAGAAATAATGATTGAAATTTGATAAATTACATAATTTTTAAATCTCAACAATGACTTTTTAAATGTTTTCATCTTTTAAAGTTTTATTATAGCATTGTATAATGAATGCCATTTTAATTTCTTTCACATAAAATAACTTCTCGACAAAATGAATTATTTTTTCTCAAAAATGTTTTCAATGAAAGGATTTTAATTTATGGAAAAAAATTACCTAAAAATTTTACATTTTTACTATATTCTTCGTTTTCTTCTTCTAAATAACACAATAATTTAATGGATATATTAAAGTATTTTAGCTTCTTGGTAGAAATTTTACACTATCATTGATCATAATTTTAATTAATTTATTGTTAAACGCGAAAAATTTCAAACAATATCTTCAAATATAACTTACAGCATGAACATGAATGAGTGTTGTTAAATTTGCTCTTATGTCAACAGCTATCCCATCCTTATCTGTCACCGTTTGTTTACCGATAGCAACAATCAGTAAACAACAAAATATGGAACCAATAAAGCATGTCATATATATTCGTGTATCACTGGAAATTTCATTTCTATCAAGTAAAAAAGAATAAAGCATAAAAAAGAAAAATGGAACTTTTTTCTATAATGTTTTCAACAGAAAAAAGTTAAATATTTAATTAAAAACTTATAGTTTGAACTTTGAAATAATGGAAATTTATAATTAAAATCAATAATGACACCAAATCCTGCATATTGCTGTCAATGGGATGAATGGATGGGTGAAAAACACTATGTGGTCAATTAATTCTCCTTTATAAACTTCTGCCCTTTTGCCCTTTTGCCCTCTTACCCCTCTCCATCATTCGTGTCACCAAACGATCGATGCTTTGCCTATTAATGTCACTTTCTGTATGTTTGTGTCTCTATGAATGTATGTGTGTGCATGTGTGTATGTATGTATGTGTGTGTATGTGTATGTGTGTATGTGTGTGTATGTGTATGTGTGTATGTGTGTGTATGTGTGTGTATGTATGTATGTGTGTATGATAGGCGTTTGCTTAGCGGCAGTAATTATCAAAAGATCAATAATGGCATGGAAGCAACGAGAGGTATATTCCAATCCAATTAATCAAATACTTAATCAATTCCTATTTGTTGATTAATTTTAAAATTTTAATCATTTTCTTATATTAATTATAAGTGAAATAAATGACTGAATGTTTAAATTCATTTCAGTTGATGATGAATAAATAAGAATGGTTAAGTTCATTTAGATTGTTTGATAAACAAAGAAATATTCTTTTTTCAATAAATTAATAATTT